CCTAACACGGAAGGATGGAAGGTTCTAGAACGGTTGGTGGAAAGGGCGGAGGCTGGGAGGAGGCTGGGGTGGAATGGGGAGAAAGGGAACTAAGTTGGGGGGCCCATTCTTGGGGGGTGGCAGGGGGCGGAGAAGCCTAATAGGGAAGGATGGAAGGTTCTAGAACAGTTGGCGGAAAGGGAGGAGGCTGGGGTGGAATGGGGACAGAGGGAACTAAGCTGGGGAGGCCATTCTTGGGGGGTGGCAGGGGGCGCAGAAGCCTAACAGGGAAGGATGGAAGGTTCTAGAACGGTTGGCGGAAAGGGAGGAGGCTGGGGTGGAATGGGGAGAAAAGGAACTAAGTTGGGGGGCCCATTCTTGGGGGGTGGCAGGGGGCAGAGAAGCGTAACACGGAAGGATGGAAGGTTCTAGAATGGTTGGTGGAAAGGGCGGAGGCTGGGAGGAGGCTGGGGTGCAATGGGGACAGAGGGAACTAAGCTGGGGAGGCCATTCTTGGGGGGTGGCAGGGGGCGGAGAAGCCTAACACGGAAGGATGGAAGGTTCTAGAATGGTTGGTGGAAAGGCAGGAGGCTGGGAGAAGACTGGGGTGGGATGGGGTCAAAGGGAACCAAGGTGGTCCAGGGTTTGGCCACCGTGGCCACGGTCCTCACCCCGGAAGAGGGACGGGGCTCGGGGACCGAGGCCCTGGCCCTGCGTCGCCCGGTGGCCATGGGCCTTGAGTGTGCAAGATGGCGCCCGCTCTACCCAACTGGGCCCTTGGCCGGTCTTGCTCCGCGCGTCCCATCCGCACCTGGGCCGGGCGTCGGGTGGGCGGCGGTGAGCTCGGGGACAGGGACTGACTTCTCCGGCTGGCGAAGTCCCCCCCCTGTCCTCGAGGCCCGCCGGTCTCAGGAGCTCCATCCCCCTGTCTGTCTGTCTGTCTGTGTGTCTGTGTGTCTCGCTCCCGCCAGGTGGTGAAGAAGGTCAAGTCCATGCAGTCCTTCCACACGCCGGTCACCGCCGCCACGCAGGGGGACCGGCTGGGCATCTGCGTGACCCAGTTCGACCCCAAGCTGCTGGAGCGCGGCCTCGCGTGCTCCCCGGGGACCCTGCACACCGTCCACGCCGCCCTCGTCTCTGTGGAGAAGATCCCGTACTTCCGGGGTCCCCTGCAGACCAAGGCCAAGTTCCACGTCACCGTGGGCCACGACACGGTCATGGGCCGGGTCATGTTCTTCGGGCCGGCCCCCGACGGTGCGGACGGCGAGGCCGCGCCGGACGCCTTCGACTTCTCCCGGGAATACCTGTTCCAGGAGCAGTACCTGTGCAAGGACCCGGCGCCCGCGGGGACGGGCGGGGACACGGGGGACACGAAGGCGGGCCCGGCCGCGGAGGGCGGCTGTCCCCGGCAGCAGTGGGCGCTGCTGGAGTTCGAGAGGCCCGTGACCTGCCCGCGGCGCTGCCTGGTCATCGGCTCGAGGCTGGACGCGGACGTCCACGCCAGCGCCTGTCGCCTGGCCTTCCACGGCGTCCTGCTGCACGGGCTGGAGGACAGGGGCTACGCCGAGACCTGCCTGCCGTCCCTGAAGGTGTTCAAGATGAAGCACCGGCACGGCGTCGTGGAGCGGGTGAGCCTGTCCCCCGCCCGGCCCGTCACCCACGCCCCGATCGGCGCCGTCTGGCGTCTGGCGCGACAGCCACGGAGCCCCCGTGGCCCCGGCCTCAGTAGCGCGTGAGGCCCGGAGCGTCGGTGGCCTCAGTTCTCTCAGCCCGTCAGTCCCAGAGCCCCGGGCTGTCCCCAGGCCGGGGGACCCCGCTGCAGCCACCGTCCCGCTCGTTCCTGCGGTGGACGTGGCTTCTCGCGGCCAGCGTCAGACGGCAGCATTCGGGGCCGGCCTCCCCGGCCCTGTCACCCTGGCGGGTGCTGCCCTCCCGCCCGTCACTGCGCCTGCTTCAGGCTGGGTGGC